TCTCTGTGCCTCCTGTACATGGATGTCTGTTTCACTTCCCAGGTTAGGGAAGTTTTCAGCTACCATTTCTTCAAATATTTTCTCTGTCCCTTTCTCTCTCTCTTCTGAGACTCCTGTGATGAGAATGTTAGTACACTTGAAGTTGTCTCAGAGACCTCTTAAAATGACTTCATTTCTTTCTATTTTTTCAGTTCAGCTTTGGTGATTTCCATTACTATAACTTACAGCTCACTGACTGTTCTTCTGTATCATCTAATCTGTTGATTCCTTACAGTGTATTTTTTATTTAAGTTATTGTATTCAGGTGTGTTTAGCTCTTCTTTCTAACTTCTAACTGTTCAACTTCTCACTGTGTTCATCCATTCTTCTCTTGAGTTCTTTGATCATCTTTATGGTCATTACCTTAAAATAAACACTTTATCAGGTAGATTGCCTATCTCTACTTCACTTAGTTCTTCTTCTGAGGTTTTATCTTATTCCTTCCATTGCATTCCTCTGTCGCCTCATTTTGCCTAATTTTCTGTTTTTATTTCTATGTATCTTGTAGGTTGGTTACATTTCCCAACATTGGGGAAGTGGCCTTTTGTAGGAGGCATACTATGCAACCCAGCAGCAAACTTCCCTCTGGTCACCAGAACTATATACTCTAGGGGTGTCCCCTTTGTGGGCTGCATGGATCCTTCTGTTATGGAGGGCTGATTATGGTGGGTGGTCTGGTAGGTGTGTCTGGGCCCTGGTCCAGTTGGTTGCCAGACCCTGCAGAAGCTGGCAGCTGTTGGTTGGCAGGGCTGGGTCGTGAGGCTGCTCACTGCAGAATGCCACAGGGTCCTGGGGCTAATACTGACCCACTGGTGGGCAGAGCCATGTTCTGGGGTGGGTGGTTTCAGGGCTGGAGTTCACAGATCTACTATCAGCCTGCTGGTAGGTGGGCCGGTTCCTGACATGGCTGGCTATGGGTTCTGGGGTGACCCAAATCTGGTGTCAGGCCTCTGGTAGGTGGGGCTGGATCCTGGGCCACTGGCTGAGGAGCCCAAGGTGTCACAAAGCTGGTGTTGGGGGGACTTCCCTCGTGGTGCAGTGATTAAGAATCTATCTGCCAGTGCAGGGGACTTGGGTTCAAGCCCTTGTCTGGGAAGATCCCACATGCCGCAGAGCAACTAAGCCTGTGTGACACACTACTGAACCTGTGCTCTAGAGCCTGTGAGCCACAACTACTGAGCCCACATGCCACAACTACTGAAGCCCGTGTGCCTAGAGCCCATGCTCCGCAACAAAGAGAAGCCACCGCAATGCGAAGCCCGCACACCGCAACAAAGAGTAGCCCCTGCTCACCGCAACAAGAGAAAGCCTATGCACAGCAATGAAGACCCAAAGCAGCCCTAAATTAATTAATTAATTAATTAATTAATTAAAAAAAAGCTGGTGCTGGTGGGCAGGGCCAGGGCCCAAGTGATCTTAAGGCTGGTGCTGGCCTTTTGGTGGGTTGGCTGGGTCCTGACAAAGCAGGCTGCAGGGCTTTGGTGGTCCTGGGGCTGGTATCTGCCTGCTGATGGGCAGGGCCGGGACCCAGGGTCTCTGGCTGCAGAGACCTGGGGGTCCCAGGTCTAGTGTCTGTGCAGTAGTATGTAGGCCCAGATCCTGGGCCCTCTGGTGGACAGGGCCATGTCCTAAGATGGCTGTGGGCTCAGGGGGTCTTAACGCAGCCTCACCCAGTTAGTTACTTGTCCTTATGCAGCCTAGTACTGGTGCAAACAAGCTGGTGGGCAGACCAGGTCCCAGTGCTAATAGGCTAGAGGGAAGATTCCAAAATGGCATTTACCAGTACCAGTGTCCACGTGGAAGAATGAGCTCCCCAAAATGGTTGCCACCAGTGTCTTTATCTCCACGGTGAGCTTCAGTTGCCTTCTGCCTCTTCTTGAGGCTCTCCAAGATCAACTGGTGGGTCTGACCCAGGCTTCTTTCAACTTACTGCTTCTGCCTTGGGTCCTGGAGCATGTGAGATTTTGTTTATGTCCTTTAAGAGTGGAGTCTCTATTTCCCACAGCCCTCTGGTTCTCTGGACACTAAGCCCCACTGGCCTTCAAAACTAAATGTTCTGGGGATTTGTCTTCCTGGTACAAGACCCCCCGTTGGGGAGCTTAATGTGGGGCTCAGACCTCTCCCTCTTTGTAGAGAACCTGTGCAACTGTAATTATCGTCCCCCTTGTGGGTCACCCATACAGGGGTATGGCTTTTGACTATATCGTGATTCCACCTACTCCTGTCCGTCTTGTTGTGTTTCCTTCTTTATATCTTTAGTTGTAGAAGATCTTTTCTGCTGATTTCCACTCTTTGTCATCAATAGTTGCTCTGAAAATAGTTGTGATTTTGGTGTGCCTATGGGAGGAGGTGAACTCAAGGTCTTCCTACTCTCCCATCTTGGCCAAATTCCTTTTTTTAGTAATTCTTTATGAGGGGGGTGGGACTTTGAGAGACAATGAATTTTTTTCAAACTATGCACAGCATCTCCCCATGTTTCCATATGCCCTTCCTGATGATGATAGATTACTAGCCTGAGAATTGTTGCCTTAGATTTCTTATCTATTAGTTATCCTTAGTTAGAAGTATTGCCTACTAGAACGTGTTTTTTTTACCTTTTATGTGTTTTTGTGGAGATAAATGTGTGCATACCACTGATCTAAAGTGTGGTAGGAATCTTTTTAAAAATTTGATTAATTTAATCAATCAACAACAACCTCCATAATTTCTAGTTTTTATTCTGTAGATCAGAAATTTCAGTTACCAGATTTTAATCCATTACTGCATTTCTCACCTTTCTCTAAGGCTTAGAGTCCCAGTCAATGCCTACCACTGTAACTTTCCCTGCCATACTGCATCCTGCAGTTTGCTAGATTTCTCCTTGGAGAGAGAATGGAAATTGTGGCAAACCAGGTTCAGAACTTGACCATCAATAATCCCCATTCCATTCCACTGGCTCTTTGATATCCCCATTTTCCCTTAGGGATATACACACTGTGAACTTGTGCTGCCTAAATTACCTGTGTTGAGTACTGTTGAGGTTACATGCTTATCCCAAGAACAAAGGCAAATGTGGCATTTAAAGGGACTGTTTACTTCATTATAAATGTAGAGGTAACAGTCCCAAAAGCAGTTGTCAGAGTTTAATCACTAAAATCTATACGCATTATTTTCAGGTTTAATATACCTTCTTTGAGAAAAATATTATGATATAGATGAAAACACTTGAAATTTGAAGTCAAAATATGACTGACCTTGCTGTTTACTATCTGCATGTTAGTTACTTAATCTCCTCTGCTTGTATCTTTGATTTAAAAATGTGTGTGTACTAATGTATTACCTACCTTTAAATCCTTATAGTGATATTGGTTGCATAAAAGGAGATGATGTATGTATGAATGTATAGTGGTTATTATTATATGTAGTAAAAGCCATGTTCCTTGGTTTGACATGAAATCAATACGATTTTATATGCTGATGTTATTTTGAACCAATATAAACTGAAAGATTCTTATTTTCATTTACATGATCAATAAAGTTTCAAACCAATTCATTTGTAATGACACAAGACCTTAAAAATAAAAATGTTTTTGCAACCAAGTATGCAACAGAGGTAAACATCAGGTGTTTTTATAATTAAGATAATCTGAAGTTTTTAATAAGCTATATTACACATGGACTGCTAGCAGTGCACAATCGCTGTCATTTCTTTTATAATAGTGCTTTTAGTATTCCACTGAAACATGACCAGTGAAAGCATAATATTCTTAGTTACCATTATGAGGAGCTCTGTGTATTACAGCCTCTCCACTGTGTCTGCTGTTAGCTAGAAAAATGCTGGGAGCAATAGCAGTTACTATCAACAGGGAGCCATATTAATTATTTGAAATGTGCCTCATAAGAGAAATCAGCAGAGTTTATTACAAGTCGAATATTACTTGAAACAGGAAGGTTACTCTAACTGTTATCATAATCTATGTATCATTAACTTTCCTTATTTAGGAAAGGAGATTAACAACCCTGTAGATTGCTATAGTAAATGTATAAAATATAACTGCATATTCCCATTATAGAAAGAAAGCGGTGGGTTCTGTACTTTTACCCAAACCTTCTTTATATAAAGTAGCTTTAGAAATTGAACTCTGTAATTGTGCTTTCTTGCCTTAAAATCCTAATTGCTTACTGGATTATCAGTATACAAGCTATAGCTACTTTGAACATTAGAAAACTCTTGTTCTTAAGCTAGCAATTTTTTTCAGTCAGCGTCTAGTCCTTCAAATCAACTTTAACTCATGAGACAGAAAATGTATTACAGATATGCATGTGAACTAGCAGAATGCTTTACAAGAAACAGAATGAATCCATCTACCTGCTTTTTTATATTGTGGTTAGTTATTATTTTTTCATCAAGTACAATAAGCAAGTAGGAGTAGTTTTCTACTCAAATAAGAAGTAAAAAGTTTAAAAGTAATAATAAAAATAAGGTATAAATTAATTAGGGTTGTAAAGTTATCTAAATAAGTGCTATTCAAAGTGTTATCTGACATAGATGCCAGTCTGCAGACCATTTATTACTGATCTGCAGTGAAATAAATGCAAAAATTAAGAGTAAATGTTTAGAAACACTTAAAGCAAATTGATAGAGTACTTAGTGTCTGTTTAACAATGAAAAATGGGGACTTGTATTTTATGTCTTTAGTTTTTGTATTTCATTTTTCTTGTCAATCATTTTTATTGTATTTTTTAAAGTGTCACTCAATAAACTTGTGATTTAACAACAACGAAGTAGATGGCTTAAGAAGGACTGATTTAATTGCTTGATGTTTGGATGACACATAATGATTCTGTGTTTGGATAGATCTGTCTGCACTCTATAATTGTTAGTAATTCAGTGTGAAGAGAGATATATGACATCATAAAACCAAAAAAAAATGTAAGAAGACATAATTACAATATCTTAACATTTATTTTTGGGTCCACAGGACAGGCACATCATGGACAGGTACCATACATCTCTCCACCAATTCACCTTGACTCTGAGCTAGAAAGACCCCCTGTTAGAGGTGAGTTGTATTCTTTTTTTTTTTTTTTTTTTTTTTTTTTTTTAAAGTTTAAAGAAAGAAATTTATTCATTCTTTGTTGAAGACAATTAATTAAATTAAAGATAACTGTAAATATGTATATTACAATGCAGTGCCTATTTAAAAAACAGGAGGAAAATGGTGTGTAAGGAACGTAATAACAGAAAGAGTAAGTCTTATTTATAATAAGATGTGAAATATTGTTTTGAGAAATGTTTGTAAACCAAATAAGAAATGAGGATCCATAGTGGAAGACTATTGAAAACAAACCTAGATTTAGAGATTACCAGATAACTGTTACTTTTGTTTATTGGAAATTTCTTCTTCTACTATCCTTTTTTATTTTAAAATAAGATGTCTTAATCTACGTCATATTGACGGATTTATTTCCTTGCAAAGTGATATCTTATATTTTATTATTCCTTTTAAAAGTCATTTTATTATTAATATGATAATTTAGTTTTAAAGTATATAAATTAAAATTATGTATTTAAATTGATGCCATCTGTTTAAAGATTTTTAAAAATAACTAGTCATACAAAATAGAAGTTAAAAGTAACATTTATCTCATAATCTAAATACAGAATTTATCTTTCTACTTTTAAAAATTAATGATTTTTAAATGTTTTATAATGTTCAAACTAATGTAATAATAGACAAACTTTTAATTTTATAAATACCAAATATCCTAAGGTTAATTTTTCAGTTTAAAGTAATATGGTATATTTTCTTTTTTTTTTTTCAAAGGGGAACATAGCTTTATTTTTATTTTATTTTATTTTTTTAACATCTTTATTGGAGTATAATTGCTTTACAATGGTGTATTAGTTTCTGCTGTATAACAAAGTGAATCAGCTATACATATATACATATCTCCATATCTCGTCCCTTCCACCCCTCCCTCCCACTCTCCTCACTTTGTCCCAGTGGCATGGTATATTTTCTTATACTTTCAATAGTATACAATAAAAGTCATTAGATCTGACTTTTATGAACATGTTTTCTATACATGCTATTTCTTCTGCCAGGAGTCTCTTACCTTTCCTTTTCTACCTAGTAAGTTTTTACCAGTGTTGCAATGCTCTGCTTTACCTTCAGTTCCTCTGTTAAGTCTTCCCATGTACTACGCAGGAGCTAAGTACATGCCTCTGTCCTCCAAATATCCCCTGTGCTTGCCTCAGTTATTATTCCTAAAACACTGCATTTTATTTTTCAGCTTGAATGTCCCTTTTTCCTTCTGTAAGATCCTTGAGGGCAAAGAGTGTCATAATTATTATTTCTCCTCCAGCAACTGGTCTGTGCTTGGCGCACAATAGGAACTCCTAAAATGATTTCTAAGTGACTGAAAGTGAAGGTGACAACCTAAATTGTGAAGGATGTATCCTCATTTTTCAAGAAGAAAACTGAGCAGGGACAATAAGAGAACTTACAAAGAAGAAGCAGAATGAACCAAAATATGTTATATGTGAAAGTTGTGATTTTTTTTTTTTTTTTTTTTTCGGTATGCAGGCCTCTGACTGTTGTGGCCTCTCCCGTTGCGGAGCACAGGCTCCAGACAGCAGGCTCAGCGGCCATGGCTCACGGGCCCAGCTGCTCCGTGGCATGTGGGATCTTCCCGGACCGGGGCACGAACCCGTGTCCCCTGCATCGGCAGGCGGACTCTCAACCGCTGCGCCACCAGGGAAGCCTGAAAGTTGTGATATTTTTAAGGAAATGTGCTTGAGTGCACAGTAAAATGGGAGCAGTTTTAGAGGAAGAGACTGGGAAGATGTAATGAGGGAGATTGTGAAGGATTCTGCGTCTCATGCCAAGGAGTTTGTACTTTATCCTGTAAAAAAATCATCAAATATTTTTGATTTTTTAAAAAATTTTCCTAAGTCAGTGGGTTGTTACATCATAACAGAATCAGTTCTTGATATGGGAAAAGTATCTCTGAAATCAGTGTAGATGATGAAAGATTGACAGAGGGAAGCCATTTCAGTAATCCAGGTAAAAAATGATTGGGAAATTAGTTAGGAGTGTGTTGGTGGCAATGGTAGGGTCCGAGAAGTGTTTTGAAGAGACATGGCATTGGCTGAACTGATACAGGAACAGAGCAGAAATGCCTCTAAGGTTTCTATATTGATTAACTACTTGGATGCTTATGCCATAATTTCTCATCATGAGGAAGAGATGAATTTTAAATGGATGCCTTGTTTTAGACATGTTAATACTTAGTAGAATGTTGTTCCCACCAAAGATGGAGACCTATTTATGCGAGTTGGTGACATTAATATAATTCAATTTTTCAGACATGATCCCAGTATGATTTTGGAAGAATACTATAAAGTCATGGGTGTGACAGTGTAATTAATAATCTACTCCAAAAGTTAGTGGCTAAAAACAGGAAACATTTTTATAGTTCTCAGAGTTGGTTGAATCGCATGTGTGCTGACTTGACTGAGGCTGGGTGTTTAGTAGTTAGCAGGCTGGTTGGATTTTCAGGGAAGGAAATTCATTCACATGTTTGGTAGTCACCTTGATGTCATCTGCAGTGATGGCCATATGGCTCTCATCTTCCAGCAGTCTAGCTCCAGCTCATTCCCATTGTGACAGGGTTCCCTGCAATGAGTAGGAAAGTCCCCAAGTTCATGTATTGTTTAAGACTCTACTTGTGTCATGTTTGTTATGTCCCATTGGCCAAAGCCAGTCACATAGCCAACCCTAGACTTAAGAAATGGACTCCATCTCTTGATGGAGGAACCACAATCCAAAGGACCATGGATACAGGAAGGAGAGGAATTTGGGCCATTTCAACCTACTGTAGCTAGGCAGATAAAGAGTAAAATAAATTTAGAATGAAGCAAGGCAAAAATTGAGTGATAAAATGAAGGGATTTATAGCCAATAAACTTAAACTTGGGAGTTATAGACCTTTCTTATCTTTAATTTCCTCAACTACCACACAGAAGTTCAGAAATAAGAAATCCTCACAGTGTCTTTGTGAGGATTAAGGATGATATAGAACAGAGTCTGGCATCTGGTAAGCCCTAGATAATATGTGGCTATTACTACTGATACGAACTTTGGGGTTTGCTGTTGTGACATATGGGAAGAGACTGGGCCTTGGAGCCAGGCAGACCTGCAGGACCTTAGGCAGCTTCTGTCTATCAACTGTAAAACAAGTTTTTAAGGATGGTTAAGTGAAACAGTTAGTATCAAGTTCCTGGCAAATAACCTGACATAAACTAGACCCTGAAGAGTTAGTAGGCAAGTAGGCATTATTAAGAGCTTCACTTTAAAGTGGCATCATCTTAGTAAAAGTAGTGATGGTATTGACCTGGTGAAGAATGATCTACTAGAATCTAGCATTGATCTCTGCTTTATATCTATCTCAAATTGTGCTCTCTACCTTAGAAGAATTGTCTTGATAACTTCTAGTTCTCACATAGTTCCTCTACATGCATTGACCCAGAGACCCTCCTAAACTACTGTGATTAATGCAATTGCAGTTATAGTCATTAGCTCATGTGCCATAGTCCCATAATTTTCAAAATAAAAGAACATTTAATTGAATAAATAAAGAGGTTTGTATAAATCACCAAAATAACATTGCAAAAGACCTTGTGCTTTTTTTCTTAAAACTATCTAATATTTTATTTAAAAACAAATATTGGAAATGGTAAGAGTTGGCAATATCATTGCTTTGGAACCACAAAGTATTTCCTTTCAACTTTCAACTCTCACCCCTCATCTGCATTTACTGTTTCTAATTATAGTGTACATTTTTGATATTTAAATTACACAAATGACCTGTACATTATCTATATCTATGTACAGAGAGGGAGTCTCTCATGTATATTATAGGTTTTGATTTGAATTTATACAATAAGATAAATTAGGTTCTTTAAATACTTTGAAACTCTGTCTCTAATAATTTTTGTGTGATTATATAACAATATCCTTTGAACTACCTGAAAAACCACATTAGATAACTATTTTTTCTATTTTCCTACTATAATTTTATACATATTGAGAAAATGAGAGCTATGTCTTGATAGTCCCCTTCCCCCACTGACCTACAGTTCTCTGTATTCTCTCTTTCCCTTTCCACTAGTGTACATTCATGTTCATGTTTTAGGAATTATTGTTGCTTTATATAATTCCCTGTGTATTTTATAGACTTGACTATATTTTCATAGGAAAATCATACTTAAGCTTTTTGATATCCATCAAGAGAGCAATACAAAACAATGTTTAAAATGTATTAATATAGCTATCAATATTAGGACAGGGAATTTTTCAGTAGAAAGTATGAATTCTCTAACATATTACATATCAGATTATTTCAGATACTTTGCCATTTTATTCTGTTCTTATCTCAAATATTTTGGATTACTTGGTACCTTTTTTTTGTAACAGTGATTGTGCTTTGAATATTTGAGATAGTGAACTAATTATTGGTAACTTTGGAATTGTTTTTAAGCCTCTATTTAAAAAATAATTATATAATTATTTTTCAAAAAGTATATGTGACATTTTCATTTCTTTTTCATCCCCTTAAATTCTATATGTAGCTTATGAATCATTTTGGTTTTAATCCACATGTCACCATACTACCTCCTTTCTATTCTCTTGATTTCTTTCACTTTTGCACTCACTTTTAGGGAAAAAATATTTTGTGAAATTGATGCACTTGTTTGTCAAAATGTATTTCTTTTTTGGTATTGTGTATTTTAATTGTGACCAACATGCTCTTAGTAACCATACAGAAAATGTAGTAACAAGTTACCAAATAACCTTGAAAAAAATGTTGAAATCTATATTTCAAAATAGCTGAAGTATATAATAAATTCAGTGGCACCTACCCCCGATGAGTAAATTTGAGAGATTCTGTTGTTTAATGTGATCATACATGGCATTTGGTCACATAATTTATGACTGTGATAACTTTATATGCATTCTTCAACTTATAGATTTTATTACTGAATAGGAGTGTAAATT